TTGCAAACAGCATGCAAGTTGTGTATATTTTACACAATCCCAGAATCACATATAACTTTCTATGTCAGTTTTTTATGTGACTAAGTGTTTTAATACATTTTGAAGGCCTTTTGGAAATACTTGCACCAAAACTCTTCATTTTATTGCATGTTTCATCAGCTACTCACATGACTTAGAAAAAAACATTCAGTTATATATATTGGTGCCTGACACCTCCTCCAGACAACCCAGAGCTTGATGTCTTTCCCTTGTAGGCACTTGAGCAGGAGGTAGCGTTGCTGGAACCTGATGTAGCTACAGTCATATCCCGTGGTGACACTCTCACCCTTACAACTCACATGGTGGATGTGCCAAGAGCCAACACCATTCGCACTGCTGTCCACGACTTACGTACACACTGGTCTTCCCTTAAGGGTGAAACAGAGGTATGAAGACATTATAATTTCTCTTAGTAATGGGCATCTTCTCTTATTGATTATTTCATAGCACATGCTCATGAAACGTAAGATGAACATTGAACATTCTTCATATTTATTGGGGACTGAGAGCCAAACTTGGCCATAACCTTGACGTGGACCTTGACCCTGTCCTAGACCCTGATCCTGACTCTGATCTAAACCTCGACCCTAACCATGACCATTACCCAATCCAACATGACAACTTGACCTGAACCAACAAGATTTGACTGACCTGACCGGACCCAAAACAACTCAGTGCCTCTTAACTCAGTTAAACTCAGCCAACCCCAGCTCAACCCAATCCAGTCAAGTCCATTCCAGCCGACATGATAGCCAAACCTATCATGACATGAACTAATCTTGTCTACCACATTTTTGATGTAACCAGACCCAATCCTGTGTTCATTACATAAATCAGTTCATATAGTTATGATATTAAAACCACTTACATTATGAAGATAGGGATCATTGTATAATCAAATAGACACCCATACATAAGTTAACCCAGTGCCACCAAGGATGGCTTTTACATACCTGCCATAATCACTGTGAGTTTAGTTTATTAATTGCCTTTACACATAAATGGCTCCACAAGTACTAAGTCACCAATTACTGGTATTACGTATCTCACCTGTTTACCCTTTTCCTTGATTTTTGGAAGTAATTTATTTTTATCTTATAGTGCTATTAGTAATGGTAATAACATAATAATTATAATTCCTATAATAATAATAACAGCATCAACATTTGATAGCATTGTAAAAAATAAATAAATAAAAATATAATAATGATAATAATAATAATAATAATAATAATAATAATAATAATAATAATAATAATAATAATAATAATAATAATAATAATAATTCTGAAAACTCAAGGATAGCTGAGATCAGGTGAGGTCACAAGGTCTACTAATTGACTTCTTCGTGGCTAAGTACTTGTAAAGCCATTTACGTGTAGACATTTCACAAGACAATACTGGAATGAACACTATATTTTCCTGACAGCACTGGGTTAATGATACAGATATCAAAGGGAATATTTTATATTTATTGGTATATATTTGATATCTTGATTAGTACTTTAAGGTAATTTGTTAATGCTGCTTTGCTTATTTAATAAATAACAGTTACTCTCTTCTAATTGCTTACTCACCCACTCCTCTTAGAGGGAAGCAGAAAAGAGAAGGCAGTGATAATTCTGTTTCTACTGCACTTTTTTTCTTTGTTTCTGTTGTCAGTATGTTTTGCTTGTATTTACTAAAAGTTGGTAATGTGGCATATGATATTTTTTGGGTAATGACTGTTGACCTTTACAGGTTTGCATTTTCTGTGAGCAGAGTAAACTTCTTTAGAAGACAATTTCTTTTAAGACATTATCCACACAGAGCAAAAATATGTTGTCTACTTATTTGAGCTTCTTCCTCAGTTACTGTAAGACTGTATCAGTTAATTTGATTTGTAACAAATACAGTATGATGTACTGTATATAAGATTTTTTACAGGTTAAATGCAAATTTCATTATTTTTCAAACAGAGTGTTAAGCTAGAAACAGAAGAAGTAATAACTAAAATCAACAATATACAGTCTAAATCTGATGACATTGTTGGTTGGATGAATGATGTTTCTAAAAGGCTCCATCTAGTGAACAACGATGAAAGTCAGCTTGAGGTAAGTATTACAATACATTATTGTTTTTGTTCCTCATATTTGGTTCATAATTTGTTGTTACCAATATATTTTACAAGTACAAATATACTTACCAATATATTTTACAAGTACAACAGATAGAGAAGAGCTATTGGTTAAAGACAAAGATATTTACTTGATTAAATATTGGATATGTATTGTTTATCAAGTGATTTACCACTTTTTTAATGATATGAAGTAGACTAGTAGAGATTGCTCCCAAAATATTTGTGGATATTTGTGATATGATAAATGCATTTTCTGAAAATTTATGAGACTGAATATATATTTGTTTCTTCTTCTACAGGCTCTTGAAAAAGAAATGGCAGACAAAAGATCAGAATTAGATAAGCTTAATGAAAGTGGAGAACTGCTGAAGAAATATGGTTATGAACAAATCCAGCCACTACTGGCTGTCATTAACACCCGGTGGATAGAGCTGACCACTCAATTCAGTCAATACCGTAAAGTCAGCCTGGAGAAGAAAACAATTGTTTCTTCAAAAGCCCAACAGGAAGGTATTTTTCATGTAATCCACATGAACTCTATTAACTCTGGTTAATACAGAAAATGCATGATTTTATCATTGTAGACAAAAAAAAAGAAGCAAAGAGGTAAAAAGAAAATAAATGAAAAATATATATTTTGCCCTGTCCAGGAAGTGGAACCAGTAGTAGTACCTGATTTTATTGCAAGCGTCAATCGTTTGAGGGAAGCAATTTCAGCAATATCCCGGCAGCTGAATGCGAATAAACTTGCTGGTCGGCGTTATGACAACTTGAAACTTCAAGAAGAGGAACTTAAGGTATTTGAATTTAATCTTATTTTGATTTGATTAAATTTTTCTGATATTATGTTAATACATGGCAGTAACTTGATAAGTATTAAATGCTTAGTATGACAGTATGACTGAATCTTATTATTAATACTTTATTACAGACAATAAAGCAAGGTTTGGAGACTCTGAAACCAAGGGTTGATAATCTTGAAACCGAGCGTAATAATACCATAAAGAACGTTACTCAAACCCAGTCTGAGCAAATACGACGAGTGATGGACAAGCTGAGAGAGGAATGGGCTCAGGTAAATGTTCAGATGATTAAACTTTACTCAATTAAGCTTTAACAATATTGTAACAATATTGACTATTTGCCCAAACCACATATCCTACATTTTTACATCTCTTGACTATAGGTGAACAGGGGCTATACAGAAAGACATGCCTTGTGGCTGCAGTGTTCTGAGACATGGCGCACACTTCAGAAAACTATTGATGATTTCTCTGTGTGGCTGAGCACCATTGAGGAAAGAGTCCAAATCACTGCCAACCAACCTCTACCTGAAGCTAAGATTACCCAAAAGGAACTTGAGAAGCAAGTTACATTGAAACACCGGTAGGTAGTTTTGGGTGCACCTCTTTCCTGTATCATTTTTATTAGTTGGGTGTTCAGTTTGTTATTGAAATTAATTAATATATATCAGTTATAAAGCAAGCAACTGACTTCTTTTTCTGGAAAGGCCAAGCCAGACTCTTCAGTCAACCTGCAAGGAAGTGACAGAGGATATGAGTCTTGATGATGCTAAGCGTCTGCAGGAACGTGTGGACACCCTCATGAAGCGCTGGCGTGCTCTGTTACTGGATCTCGCAGCTCGGAGGGAGAGGTAAAGAATATGGTTTTGACTAGGTTTTTCAAAATATTTTGTATTTTGATAACTAAGAAGTTGTAGTTATTATGTGAATTATTATTTTTATTATTATCTTTTTTTGTGTATATGTAGAATCGCTGGAGAGGAAGGTGGCAGGAGGCACAAAGCTCGGAATATGAAGCCTTGTTAGTATGGGTTGACCAGGCCCAAGCACTTATGGATGCACCAGTAAATGTCACTGATGAAGCAACTCTCTCAGCACATTCCACTATGATTCAGGTGAGTTTCTAGTTCTAGCTCCAAAAAAAAAAGAAAAAAAAATCCTATTTAGCCTGTATTGCTTCATTGCTGTATATAAAAAGTGTTACATGTATACTTAGATAGAATATGTATCATTAATAATATGAATATAGACCAGTAATCAATACAGAATTCCATAGAGAATAGGGTTTATAACTGGAATTATACATTCTACATATATATTTTCACATATTCTTCATGTGATCCAAAATTTTGTGCAAATTTATTTGCAGAATCATTTAGTGGAACTGACTACAAAACACAATCTGCTAAAGAAACTGAAAGATTCCAAGCCAAAATCTGTTACACCAGCCCAGCTATCAACTTTAGAAACTAATCTGAATAAGGTCAGAAACTTTTGTATTTTTATCATTTTGTTTAAATGTACTCCCTATTTAGGACATATATATTGAGGAAATTGTATATTTTCTATTGGTAAATGTAAGGCAGTAAGAAGGATAAGAGGGATTAATTTAATGCATGGTATAAAATATTTTGGTTCTTTATAAGTTTTTATCACATAGCATACCATATATTTCTAATTTGATAGTGACTTTCTATTTACCCTTTTTAGGTTAATTCCTATCGTAACATATGTGTGCAAAAAGTATTTGTAACATTTTCTTACAATAGGTGGCAAAGACCTTACCAGAATACAAGAACTTGATAGAAACCAAATTAGGTGTGACCAAGACCCTTGTTACTGATGTTGAGGACCTGTACAAGTGGACTGAAGAAATGAGGGTGAAAGTAGCCCTCCGCAATATGACTGATGAGGAGATCAAACTTTCAAAGATCACCCTCAGAGAAAAGGAAACACTGTATGAGAATCTGGATTCGACATACTGGGTCTTGGCACAGGATACTGAGAGCAAGGGGCTCACAGTGTCTGTTGCTCTTAAGGTATGTTTTGACTGATACTTTTTATGACATTGTCAGTTATCTGTATCAAGAGGATATTAAGAAATGGATAATATGTAAATGAAAAATCAGAAAGGTTTCATAATTTCATATCTTGTGCTCACTATACACTATTTCTAGGTGTGTTTCACTGGTTCTGTACTTTTCTCATCCCCCATTGCCAACATGTATTATGTTTTTAATCCTCTCCCTGTTGTTGATTTTTTAGCATTACTTATCATCAGATCATAAGGGGGTGTTTCACAGGACAATTGCTGATATAATTGGTACACTTATTTCATATATTCAGATGCCAATAAAAATATGTTACAAGGCAAAATAAATGTAATGTTTACACATTAGTCACACAGTTTATGTGGATATAATATCAAAATGAAAGGTAACATAATTACAATTGCAGTAAAATCCTTTCAAATTATTTTACAATAGAAAATTGAGAAAGAACATTTTTTTTGCATGCTTTGTAGAATAAAAAATAATAAAATGTTATATAAATCATTAATATCTAACCATGAATAGCTTAAGAGACATATAAATGCACATTTATTTTGACATTTACCAAGTGGACCAGTTTAGATTATGAGCTTTTGACAGCATAAATACATCACCTCAGAGGAATATAGGAGAAATAGAGGATATAGCGTTTAGCATGCTCACCAGTCTAGCTCTCGATCGTGGCTCGTTCTCCCAACTCCACCGCTAAGCTCATACGCTCTTCAGCATCTCGCTAATTGGCATTAGACTAAATTTGTTCATTAATTTTGAGAATGAGCAGAGGTGCAAGGTTGCTCATCATATGTATTCACATCATGGGGACATGTGATGGACAGGGGCTTTTACCGCAGCCTTTGTAAGTTCAGAATGGTGCAACCTTTGTATTGCTTTTGACGGCAGCGCCAGCCCAAAGATAATAATACGGTCACCAGTAGGAGTCAAAGAAAACATATAATGCAAGGGGAAACTAATATGATTATGCAGGGATTTTTTTTTCACTTTCTTGCTATTGGTTTGCGCTAGTGTTGCATTTCGACACTTTTCGCTTCTCAACATACCAAAATACGCAGTTTTCGGCAGTTTAGTTAAGACCGATTTTATGAATATGTCGACTATCTTCAGTATTGCCTTGAAATAAAATGAAAATAATTTTTGCATTGATATACCCGTGAAACACCCCACTTAAAACAAAGTTTCCTTTCTTATGGCTGTTTATCAGGGGTTCCCAACCTGAGGGTCATGTGGCAATTAGAAAATTATGACGTCGAAATAAAATGAATTTTACGCAGCTATAGTACCTACATATATCTCTCACATGTCAATAAATTATAATCTTTCCATAAAGTGTTCTTTGTCCTATAGTTACTGATACCATTACATATCAAGTAATAACTGAATCTGAAAAAATGATAGACATTGAACGGGGCCATGGAGATTATTGCATATTGGTGAGGGGCCACAGAATGAAAAAGGTTGGGAACCATTGGTTTACACATTTCTTTCTCATAAACAAATTGAAAAGAAATTCTTTGAGGAAACAACGAGAGTAGTTGATACTATATTAAGAGATATCCGTTATATAAGTTCAAATGAAAGGGAAGGTAGAAAAGTCATAAGTGTTAGATAATGGGAAAGACGTACAGAAGTACAAAGATAAAGGTGATTATGAAGAAGGGAAGGGTAAATGGCAGTTAGATACCAGGCAATAATGTAGGTAGGTCAAGAAGACAGGATAGATGGGATAATGAACGGGAGAAGGGATGTAGGTAGACGGACGAAAAAGTATATTCTGTTCAAGAAAATGGAGTAGAATCAAGATCTAAAGAGAAAAGGCAAAGTGTTTGTTGCAGGGAAACTGGATTCCTTTGCAAAAATTTAATGACCGATACCATATGATATATATAACCAGGTCAGGAAAAACGATTTTGAAAGAATATGAAAGAGTAAAAAAGGTGATATTACCACCAGTTTGTTTGGGGGCATGCACACGCACACGCACACCACACCACACCCCACACCACACGTACACGCACACGCACACGCACACGCACGCACACGCGCACACACACACACACACACACACACACACACACACACACACACACACACACACACACACACACACACACACACACACACACACACACACACACACACACACACACACACACACACACACATACTCACATATATAAATATGTGTGTGTGTGCGTGCTTGCGTGCGTGCGTGCGTGTGTGTGCGAAGAGGCTTGTGCGCGTGTGCGTGTGTGTTTTGTGGTGTGAACACTTAAAGAGAGAAGAGATGAAATCCGAGAGGAGAGCACGGGAAATAGTTTGAGTCAACGGTACTCTCCGAGCGTGAGGTCGAGCACGCAACTGTGATTACCTGTGGCTACATGTGGTGGCTCTGATGAGTCGCCACGACATGTTGTCTAGGCAAGGCGAATCACGCGAAGAAACGTGTCATTGCGCGATGTTTATCTTTTTTTTTCTATTATTATTATTTTTTTTTTGTTTACTATTCCCCCATTTTTGGTATGTTTTCCTCACTCATCTCTTTCTCTACTTCCTCCTCACCTCTTCCGTTCCTTTTTCTCAATTCCTCTTTTTTCTTTTCTTCTTTCTCCTGCTCCTCCCCCTCCCCTCCCCCTCCCCCTCCCCCTCCCCTCCCTTCCTCCTCCCCCCTCCCCACCCTATCCCTCCCCCACTCCCCTCCTCCCCCTCTTCCTCTTCCTCCTCCTCCTTTTTATCGTCATTATCGTCACCATCGTAATCGTCATCGTCATCATCCCCATAAGTATATATAATATTATCATTTAACTTATCATTGCTACGACTTGATTAGTACAAAACCAGCTGTAAAAGCAGTGCTGTTGTAATAGAAACTCCGGGATCACAAGAGGTGTTAGAAATTAGCTCCTCAGTTAGCCCCGTACAGCATTCTACGTTATACCCAGTTATGTAAGCCTGTTTTATCTCCTAGGGGAACAATTATATTTTTATTTTTTTGTATATATTTCTGTTTTTATAATTATTTTGTGGTAATTTCAAGTAGTGTGATTTACGTTTTTTTTATAATCAGTGCATTGATATAATTGACTTAACTTTAAAGCTCCATTAGCATTTTTCGTAATAAAACAACAACGCGCGTATAACGAATTTCGAATGCTTACTCATTTATGAGCGGGGAGGAGGACTAGCACAGGCTCTACGGTAGGCCTACACCGCCGCCGTACCATATGGGGAAGGCCTAAAAAAAGACCGAGTACTCGAAATTAACGGCTGGCGTGCGCAGGCCCTTGGGACCTTTTAGCGTGCATGGCGTACTCCCGCGGCTCTGGGGTAGAAGGAGCGGGATGCGTATTGCGTATAATTGGCGTGCACTTGGTAATGAACTATATTTCTAATGAGGGGAGTTCGGTATAAGTTAGCGTATCCCGGCAACCAACTGATGCGTCGATTATACTCGAGGACGATTTTTTTTTTTTTTTTTTTAAAGGCAAGAAGCTAGTCAGAGGGTTGAGTCCGTCTACCCTACGCGTCGTCGCCGAACGGTTAGAACACAGTTAATTTATTTTAAAATTTTAGTGAGCTGCTGATGAATTGAAAGGGTCCACACATGGAAGCCACTGTTTATACGCGCATCAGATTTTCATAACCTGTTTTCCTTCTATACAGTCCGAGTTGTTTCAATTTCAAAGCATCTAATCGTTTAGATGTTTCTGACTATACGGCTACTGATTCTACGCTACTTCGGTTAAACTACAACCAGTGCTGTATTTAGTAACCTCAAAGAATTATCACGCCAAAAATATATCTATTTTAGTAAGTAGTAAGCACTGCTGGAACCAGACAAACATTACCCATTATAATCAGAGAAAGAAAAACCGATTACAGCGTAAATGTCACCACTTGTAGTATATCCAAATGTTTCTGTTAAAGATGACCAAGTACCGCCTTAACCCAGCCTACTCAATATATTGATCAATTCCGTGACGCGATATACACAATAGTCAGTATATACTCCTGACGACGCCATCCGAGTCTCTTATGCCACTCAATACTACAAAGTACCGTGCCAACCGCACTTGTCTATACACCCCGACACGCAACACCTTATTAAGTAACTACACATCACCTAAGTATCCACCACCGACCCTGTATACCATTGCCCTACGACTTGGTGCGCATCTATCGGACAGAAGGCGCGAACCAGCAACTCCCTAACGACACATCTCTTACGTTACTGACAAACAACCCAGAATAAAACACTTGCCTCTCAATCCACGCCCACCCCTCAATCCCTCCATCTCCCAAAGCCTCCCACCCCTCCATACCCTCGGAGATAAGGACGATCACGCGTGCTTCCCCACCCTGCCGTTACGCGCTACCGCCATGTAAGCGCTGAACCTGTGCAATTCGGTTGCATGCCTCACCAACCACAAAAGTTCATGAAGCCTCTTCTCTATTTGTGTTATTTTTTATGTTACATTTTTGTTTTGAAAACCTAATATAAAAAAAAAAAAAAAAGAAAAAAAATAAAAAAAAAAAAAACACAACTAACAAAAAGCTTCATCCCAGTACGTATTCTATATTTTTCTATTACGTGCTTTAGCACTTTATCTCATCCACAGACAGTCTAATCCACAACCCCACACTCAACCATACTTCAATCTCACCCACGCCCTATCGTCCTACCCCCTATCCCACCATTTCCTTTGACACTCCCAACCACCGCTCACGCGTGAGACGCTGAACCAAACAAGGACAAGCCTATCTTCAGCTCCACGCCTCCTAGCCACACCCGTCCGGACCTACAACCGCCACCAACGACCCAGTACCTCCACCGCCCCGGCCCATCTCCTCATCTTTACACAATCACCCAATCTCTCACCCCATGTATCCTCCCACTCACCCCCTCTCCTTACACTCGCAACATAACACTACTCAATCAACTCTTCTCCACGGCATACCCTCATCTCGCCACT